TGATATTGAATGGTTTGCCTTGGAAATGAACAGAGATCATTCTGTCATTTTTGAGATTGCATCCAAGTACTGCATTTTGGACTCTTTTGTTGACCATGATAGCTACTCCATTTCTTCTAAGGGATACAGAAAAGTTGTAGAAATACAAATGGCAGGAAGCAGAGACTTCCTACATATCCTCCACCCAGCTCCCCCTCCTTTTAACATCATATATTGCCTGGTAGGATGATCAAAACCAGGAATTAGTACAGGTAGAATATTATTAACAAACCTACAGACCTCATTTGAGTTTCAGTAGTTTTTTCTGGGAGTGTCCCCTTCCTGGTCCAGGACCCCACCCAGAGTCACTCATTTCATCTCGTCATCACACTGCCTGGCATCCTTCATGCCAGAATAGTTCCTCAGTCTTTTCATGTCTTCCACGACCTTGAAATTTGTGAAGAACACTGGCCAGGATTTGCAGAAGGTCTCTCAACTTGGGTCTGTCTGATGTCAGCTCATGGTTGGACTGGGATTGTGTGTTTCTCCCCAGAATCCCCCAGGGGGCTGATGTTGCATCCTCCTTGGTGTAGGATGTCAGGAGACTCCAGAAGTCGCTGAGTCTCATCGGCAGTGATATTATGATCACGTGGTCAGGACATGTGACTCCCCTCTCCCCTGGAAAATTACCTTCTTACCTTTCAACTTTGTAAATATCTTAAGAGAGGTCCCCTTTTGATTGATTGATTTTTGATTCGATATGTCCCCTACATACAAATGAGTTCCATTCCAAGAGCCCATTCATAAGTCCAATGAACTCATAAGTCCAATAAAGTTAGCCTAAAGTGTCAGTCACTCAGTCGTGTCTGACCCTTTGCAACGCCATGGACTGTATAGCCCACCAGGCCCCTCTGTCCAGGGAATTCTCCAGGCAAGAATACTGGAGTGGGTTGCCATTCCCTTCTCCAGGGAATCTTCCTGACCCAGGGATCAAACCTGGGTCTGCTGCATTGCAAGTGGATTCTTTACTGTCTGAGTCGCCAGGGAAGCCCTCGTTAGCCTAGGTACTTCACTAATACAATCAGCTATGTAGTACTGTAATACGTTTTATACAAACAATACATAAACACCAAAAGTAAAACATTTTTAATCTTACAGTACAGTACCTTAAAAAGTACAGTAGCACAATACAATGGCTGGCATGCAGGGGCAGGCATCGAGTGAAGAGGCAAGAAGAGTTACTGACTGGAGAAGCTAGAGGAGGTGGGAGGTGGGAGAGCTGAAAGATCGTCAGTGATAGGAGACAGAGGGCAGGTTGCAGTGTCACTCATGCCTGACGTTGATGGCATAGCTTCTGGCTCCTTGTGGATTCAACTCTGTCCACCCTCCTGAAAAAAACAATCCAACGATGTCTTGGTAGTAGCTTTTTTTTTTCTTTCTTCGTCATAGATGACACAGCAGCTACTGGATTGCAATCTGAATGGCTGTTGCAGCTTCCGTGTACTGTTCTGCATTTGGTTCTGTGCTTCAAAAAACGAACAGAGCCTCCTGAAATCAAGAAAACCCCTTACCATCTCCTGCGCCACAAATCCCTTCAGTTCTTCAGCTGCTTCTTCCTCTTGTTGCCCCACTCCCTCAATTATTTTCATTTTTGTTTCCATCGTTATCACTTGGCACTTCTTAGCAGTACCAGCTACATCGCTACTGCTTTTATGCTTGCTTCCGGACATCCAGAAAGTGAAAGCGAAAGCGTTAGTTACTCAGTCGTGTCCAACTCTCTGTGATCCCGTGGACTGTAGCCCACCAGGCTCGTCTGTCCAGGGAATTCTCCAGGCAAGAATACTGGAGTGGGTTGCCAGTTCCCTCTCTAGGAGACCTTCCCCACCCAGGGATCCAACCTGGGTCTCCCATATTGTGGGCAGACTCTTAACCAACTGAGCCACCAGGGAAGCTTCCAGACATCCTGGGCTTGAAATAAAGATGCTGTACTCTCTACTCTCTCCTGCAAAGTCCACAAAAGCACAGCGACTCATAGAGGATGCTCGCATGTGACAATGTACGACAGACAGATGAACTAAGCTCTGTGATCGGACCTGCAAACACCCGTCTGCATCTTTGAAATTTAGCAGCTCGAAGTTTCTGGTGTAGGGGACTTCACTGTACTTTGTTATGGAAGCCCTAACAAATGAATACACCCTGTTTATTTACTGCCCATCTCTGGAGAACTCTGTCTTGAACTTTTCCCTATCATGCGCCTGTTCCTTTGTTTACCAAATACTTCCTAAAGATCGACATTTTATCTTTCCTTAAAAAGATTGTCAAGTCATAAACAAAAAACCTCTATCACTTGCCGCAAAGGGAAGGGACCCACAAGAAACAAAGATACAGAAAACAAAATGATGCCTCAAAATGTCAATGGGGAAGGGAAGGAACTTCCCTGGTAATTCAGTCTTTAAGACTTGGCGTTTGCAATGCAGAGGAACTCAAATTCAATCCCTGGTTGGAGAGCTAGGGTCTCACATGCCTCATGGTGTGGTCAGAAAATAAAAAAAAAAAAAGTGCCCATGGAGCCAAGGACCTGTATCTTAGGAAAATTAGCCATTGCCAGAAAGACATTAAAGACAGTAGCACCAAACAAAACTTGCTCCAAGTAAGCCCCAGGGGAAGGCATTGTTAGAGAGTGATGCCCCTCACCCCATGTGGCCTGCTCCATTCAAGGACGCCTCCCCTTTTGACCTTCCAGCCCACTCACTCATTCAGGGCTATAATCCCCTGTTATCCTCTCTCTGTCCCATTCCCCAGTCCCTCCCCTGGTTCTCTCGCTGCCTCTGTGGCTTCTCCCCTTCTCCTTGTCTCTCCAACCCACCCTGCATCCAACAACCAGAGGGTTCTTTCAGAAACAGAAATCTTTCTTTATTTCAGGAGTCATAAGTGAATTTACTCCCATCGTAAGAAGATTCAAACAGTGCAGAAATACAGAGACCAGAAATGAGAGATATGATCCATGTCCTGTCTCTATTCTGATCTTTTCTAAGGCTCCTCATCAGTCTCTGTGTAAATTCTAAAGTCAGCGACATTCAAGGTTTGGGTTGGGTCCTGTCCTTACTACCCCCATCTCTCTCCCATCTTTCAATAAGACCCTCTTCTTAGCCACTCTGACAGCTTGCCATATCCAACCATTCAACTCTAACTCACTCACTCAGTCTCACTGCAGGACCTTTGCACATGCCCTTTGCATTCCCAGCATGTTGTTCTCCACCCCCTCACTCCAACTTCATCCTTCCTCACCCTTCGGTCTCAATGTGCTGACACCTTGTGTCTGGTTGGCCTCACCCAGATGTGGACCCTCGGGACAAAGATTCCAACTGTGCATTCATTTCTACACCTGCCGTGACCAGGAGCTCCCTCACAGTTGTGGAGGCTGGAAGTCCAAAATCAAGGTATCAGCAGGGTCCGTTTCTTCTTGCTGGCTGAGAGGGAGAATCTGTTTCCCACCTCCCTCCTAGCGTCTGGTGGTTGCTGGCTACCCTCGACATTCCTTGGCGACACATCACTGGAATGTCTCCTTCTGTTGTCACATGGACTTCTGCCTGTTTGACTCCTGTGTCTCTTCTCTATCATTGGCTGAGGGCTGCTCTGGGAAGTATTAAACCAACAGAGACAACCTAAAGAATTAAGTAGCCAGCCTGGTGAAGTGTGGTCGAGGAGAGAGAATTCTGTTCCCGGCAGAGGGAACAGCATTCGCAAAGTTCTAGAGGTTAGTAAATCATGATGCATTCAGAGCATTGAAGAGCATTGAGGGTCTTCCCTGGTGGCACAGCTGGATAAGAATACGCCTGCCAATGCAGGGGACAGGGGTTCAATCCCTGGATCGGGAAGATCCCACATGCCTCAGAGCAGCTAAGCCTGTGTGCCACAACTATTGAACCTGTGCTCTAGAGCCCATGTGCCACAACTACTGGAGACCACCCGCATTGAGCCCGTGCTCTGCAACAAGAGAAGCCACTGCAATGAGAAGCGTGTCCAGCACAGCAAACAGTAGCCCTTGCTCACCACAACTAGAGAAAGCCTGTGCAAAGCAATGAAGACCCAGCGCAGCCAAAAATAGTAAAATTTTTAAAAAGAAAATTATTGAGGTTTTGGAGACTGACAGGGGCTTGACCATGGAGAGCTGTGTCAGACACAGAAAGGAACTTGGATTTCATCAAGAGGGCAAGGGGGAGCCATGGGAGAGTTTAGAGCATGGGAGAGACCAGAGGATTAAACTTTAGAAATATGCTTGACTGCCATGCAGTGAGGAACTGAAAGTGTTGTGAACTGGAGGCAAGTCTGTTATGGGAGAATGAAAAATTCAGACCCTAAGGGCTTCCCTGGTGGCTCAAATGGTAAAGAATCTACCTGCAGGGCAGGAGACCTGGGTTCACTGGTATTCCATGAAACGGGTGTGTGTGTGTGCACCCAGTTGTGTCTGACTCTGTGACCCCATGGACTGTAGCTCACCAGGCTCCTCTGTCCGTGGGATTCTTCAGGCAGGAATACTGGAGTGGGTTGCCATGTCCTACCCCAGGGAATCTTCCCTACCCAGGGACCAAACCCATGTCTCTTGTATCTCCTGCACTCTTCACCACAGGCACCACCTGGGAAGCCCCTGGAAACAGGTCCCTGGTGCCAAAAAGGTTGGGGGCCGCTGGTCTCCCTGGTGATGGGGACTTGGACCACCCGCTCCTGCTAGCCCAGCCCTGACATTGCACTTCTCCCACCCCTCCCATCAAGTTGGTTAGACCCTGAGGACATAAGAACTGAGACCTGAAGGGTAAGAAAAAGGCGGCCACGGGGAGAAAGGGCCTTCCAGGCTGAGGGCACAGACTTGCGTAGGCACTGGAGCAGGATCGTGCTGGGTGTGTTCACGAAAGAATGTCAGGGAGGCCTGTGTGTCTGGAGCAGAGTGAGCAAGCGGGAGGGAAGGAGGAGGGCTGGGATTTGGGCTTTAAAACCTCATGGGCAGAGGGTGCCCTGAACAAGTCTAAGTCCCCTGGGAATCTCGAAATGGGTGAACATTGACCGCCTTCTTCAGTGGGTCTCTAGGAGGCTTGGGGAGATGATGATGGCAGAATGTCAGTGTGAAGTCTGGATCCACATCATGGTGGGGCGCGTGGGCTGCCAAACCACTCTGTGGTACCCATGAGCTTTACCCTTACAAGGTCCAGGAGCTGGGGATGTGCTGAGACTTCTAGAAGTTCTTTTCCAAGATTGTCCAGCCCCCAGGTCAGAGCCCCAGGGATTCTGTCTGGGCAGGGGGTGGAGGGACTGGATGTAACAGGACGATGTCACAGAGGCTGGGGGCATCTAGAACCCTGGGGGCTCCTAGTCTCAGAGTCATCTGCCAGGAAGGCCGCCTGGGTAGGTCATCTCCTCCTGGGACCAGCCTTCAAGGACAGAATGCGAGCCTGGCTGCCCCCAGGAGCCGTTTCCGTGTAGGACCACCAGGGTCCCCACTGCTCTGCTCAACTGCCTCTGAGCCGCCCTTTCAAGTTCACCTCCATTCCCTCCCTGGCCACAGGTCCCCTGGGAGGCCCTGGAGATGCCCGGAGGCCTCCCGTTGGCGGTCCCCAGCGGGACCTAGCTCCACGCCGCAGCCGGAGAAGGACGGGCCAGCCATGGGGCGGCAGCAGCCAGCTGTGGCCCTGGGGGCAGTCAGGATCTCACTGATCCTGCTGGGGTTGCTCACTCCCTCGCAGGCGGTGGTGCGGGTCGTGCTGGACGGCAACTCAAGCACGGTGGACTTTGAGGATCTGCCAGCCCTGTTTGGGGCACCCCTGGCTCCCGGGGGCGTGCGAGGCTACCTGATGGAGGCCAAGCCAGCCAACGCATGCCATCCCATTCAGGGCCCGCTGCCGGGCAACGGCTCCCTGGGTGCCATCGTGCTGATCCGCCGATACGACTGCACGTTCGACCTCAAGGTGCTGCACGCCCAGCGGGCCGGCTTTGGGGCGGCTATTGTGCACAATGTGCGCTCCGACGACCTGGTGCGCATGGCCCACGTGTATGAGGACCTGCGGCAGCAGATCGCCATCCCCTCGGTGTTCGTGGGCGAGGCTGCTTCCCAGGACCTGCGGGTCCTCATGCGCTGTGACAAGTCGGCCCAAGTCGTCCTGCTGCCCGACTACCCGCCCCACCCGGACCTGGACTGCCACCCAGTGCTGGCCGTCTCCTGGGTGCTGGGCCGCGCCCTGGCCCTGCTCACCAGCGCTGTCTTTGTCCTGCGGCGCCTGTGGCATTGGCTCTGGAGCTGGCGGGCCAGCGGGCAGGCGGTCAAGGCACAGGCCCCCCAGAGGGCCCAGGTGCACACCTTCACCAGGTGTAACGACCTCTGCGCCATCTGCCTGGATGAGTACGAGGAAGGCGACCGCCTCAAGGTCCTGCCCTGCTCCCATACCTACCACTGCAAATGCATCGACCCCTGGTTCTCCCAGGCTGTCCGGCGCTCCTGTCCCATGTGCAAGCAGTCAGTGGCCGGCACAGAGGACAGCTCTGACTCCACCGTCGACAGCTACGGGGACGAGGAAGACCCCTCGCTGTCCGGCCGCCAGACCCCGATCTGGGCTGTCCAGGCCCGGCTGCGCTCCCGGAGGCTGGCTCTGCTGACCCAAGCCACCTCCCAGAGCCGCTGTAGCGCCTCCTCCGTGGGGGAGGCAGAGGCCAGTGCACCCTTGGAGGGGCCCCCAGAACCCCACTGAGACCCGCCAGCCCTGGGCTGGTAGAGATCCGGGCGGGCAGGGTGGAAGGAAGGCATGTTTTTAGCCCGGAGACTAGATAATAAAGTGGGTTTGAAAGTGGATTCTCCCCCTGGCTGCTCTGGGGCTGCCCAGTCCCTCATACCACCCGTGTGGCAAGTCCCAGCTGAGCTGGCTCCTGGCATCTGAGGGTGAGTGAGGGGAAGTGGGGGTGGTAGGGTGGTCTCAGGGACGTTATGTACATCATCCCCATGGTGGCCCTGTGACGGGGCCACCGTGCCTCAGTTCAAATTCTGGGTCTACAGGGCCTGATTCCTAATATTCGCTTTCATTTAAACCTTAAAAAGAATAAACTTGTTACTTTGGAATAATTTTAGCTTTACAGAAAAATTGCAAAGGGGCTCTGGACAGTTTCCATGGACCCCTCACCCAGTTTTCCCTGAGTGTTGACATTTTACATCAGCATAGCATTTTTTTCTTTTTAATGTTTTGATTTTTTGGCCACAAAGTATGTGGGATCCGGGGTCCCCAACCAAGGATCGAACCCACACCCCACTGCAGTGGAAAGCAAAGTCTTAACCATTGGACCGCCCAAGGAAGTCCCCAGCACAGCACGTTTGATTCAACCTTGAGAGCACCGTGAATAGGTTATGACGAACTCAGCTCCGGGTTCCATTGAAATTTCCTCATCATTTCAGCTGCTTATAGTGGAAAGTGTCAAACGCACTCAAGTAGAGAGAATGGAATGATGACTTTTCCCACGTGTACCCATCATTCAGATTCAGTGATTTATCTGTGCTGCCATGCTGTGCTAAGTCACTTCAGTCATGCCTGACTCTTTGCGACCCAATAGACCACGGCTTCTCTGTCCATGAGCTTTTCTGGGCAAGAATACTGCAGTGAGTTGCAGTGCCCTCCTCCAGGGGATCATCCCACGTGTACCCATCACTCAGATTCAACGATTGATCTACTCCTGGCCATTCTTGTCTCCTCTAATTCTCCTCCTTCCTTGCTATTTTTTAAAAAAGATTTTTTAACATTTTTATTTATTTTATTTTTGGCTGTGCTGGGTCTTCGTTGCTATGCGGGCTTTTCTCTAGTTGTGGAGAGCAGGGGATGCTCTCTAGTTGAAGTGTGCAGGCTTCTCCTTGCAGTGGCTTCTCTTGCTGCAGAGCTCGGGCTCTAGGGCGAATGGGCTTCAGTCGTTGGCGCACATGGGCTCGGCAGTAGCAGTTACCAGGCTCTAGAGTATAGGCTCAATAATTGTAGCACATGGGCTTACTTGCTCCAAGGCATGTGAGGTCTTCCCAGATCAGGGATCAAACCTATGTCTACTGCATTGGCAGGTGGATTCTTTACCACTCAGCCACCAGGCAAGCCCCTCCCCTGCTATTTTGATGTAAATTCCAGATGTTTTTTTCACCTACAGATATTTCAGTGTGTGTCTCTAAAGCAGTAGTTCTCCACCGTGGTGGGGATGTTGTGTCCCCGGGGACACTGAGCGATGTCTGGAGGCATCTGTGGTCATCATGACTGGGGGCCTCCTGGTATCAAGTGGGTGGAGGCCAAGAATGCTGCTCCATATCTCTTAGCCCCTGGGAGGATCTCATCCCAGAGAATGATCTGATCTGACTCTCTACAGTGCTGAGAGGAGACACCCTGCTCTACAAGATAAGATCCCTTAAAGAACAACCTCACAAACTCCAGTATCAAGTCCAGTATGAAATGATTCCTTATGCATGCATGCATGCTAAGTCACTTCAGTCATGTCCAACTCTTTGAGACCCTATAGACTAGCACAGCAGGCTCTTCTGTCCATGGGATTTCCTAGGCAAGAATACTGGAGTGGGATGTCATTCCTTTCTCCAAGAGATTTTCCTGACCCAGGTCTCTTGTGTCTCCTGCATTGGCAGACAGGTTCTTTACCACTAGCACCACCTTGATGCTATAGTGATTCCTAAATAGCGTTGAATAGTCACCCAGGGAGCAAGTGGAAATGTGCACATTTATTATATTATGGTACAATTTTTTAGACTCTTTGAAGCAGGACCGAGATAGAATCTAGAGTCACTGATGGTCTCCGAAGTCTCCTTAATTTTTTATTTATTTTTAAAAATTGGTTCTGTAGCATTTAAAAAGTATTGTATTTATTATTTACTTACTTGGCTGCACTGGGTCTTAGTGGCGGCACTTGGGTTCTTCCTTGCATTTTTTGAGATCTCCCTTGCGTCACATGGGATCTTTGATTGAGGCACACAGATTCTCTAGTTGTAGCGTGAGGACTCCAGAGCTCGTGGGCTTCAGTAACCATGGCACTTGGGCTCAGTTGCTCTGTGGCATACGGCATCTTAGTCTCCCAGCCTGGGATTGAACCTGTGTACCCGGCATTGCAAGGCAGATTCTTAACCACTGGACTACCAGAGGTCTGTCCAAAGTCTCTTTTAATCCAAAGCTTCTCCTGCCATCTTTCTCCCTATAATTTTCCTTGCAGTTTATTTATTTGAGGCCACTGGGTCCTTCATCTTGCAGAGATGCCCCTGATCTGGGTTTTGTCAATTGGGGCATGGCAACTGACTCTAGTATTCTTGCCTAGAGAATCCCATGGACAGAGTAGTCTGGAGGGCTACAGTCTATGGGGTCACAAAGAGTCGGACATGACTGAAGTGACTTAGCACACACACACTTGGTATCATTTTAAGTATGCCTCTGCCTCCTTTAGTTTCTTTTAATTTCTAGTTGGATTCAGAGACCAGCATGGATGTGATTTAATTTTATGGCAAATAGATAACAGTGTTTCTTCAGTTCCCAGTGCAAGCTTTTCTCAGAAATTTGGGTCAATGAAAGGCTCTTCTGGGCAACGAAGAAGGGGTGGATGCTCACTTGGGGCAAGCATGATCAGGAGGATCTGCAAGGGAATGTTGTATAGAATTTCTCAGGGGGCACGGCATATGGGTGATAGTAGGATTTGGACAGAGTAGTCTGGTATTAGTGGCTTCATGAGTGAATATCTGTATTTAGTCAAATGTCTTCTTTTTCACACATATTAGAGTGGCTTTTTTTAAACTTTTTTTTTTTTTTGCTTGTCCTGGGTCTCTGTTGCTATGCTCAGGCTTTCTCTAGTTGTGTTGAGCAGGGGCTACTCTTCATTGCGATGTGTGGGCTTCTCATTGTGGGGGCTTCTCTTGTCGCAGAGCACAGACTCTCGGGCCCGTGGGCTTCAGTGGTTGTGGCACGCAGGCTCTAGAGCATAGGTTCAGCGGTTATGGGACACAGGCTTAGTTGCTCTGTGACACGTGGGATCTTCCGGGACCAGGGACTGAACCCACGTCCCCTGCATTGGCAGACAGATTCTCATCCATTGTACCACCAGGGAAGTTCACTGGAGTGTTTTTCATTTGTGTCTTGCTGTCCGCACCTCCCAACCTAGCTGGGAACCTCCAAAGTAGTTCAGAAAAAAGTGAGTCTGTTCTTGGATGGATGATGGCAAAGGGTGGGCTCTTGGAAATGGCTCTGGTGTGTGTATGTGTGTGGGGTGGGGCGCAGAGAAGTGGGCTGAGGTCCTTGCACAG